GAACCGTGGATTTTGTGAACCGTTCCACCCCTAGTTTCTATCAGAACTAAATCAGAGATTTTAGATGCCGGCTGATAAAATCTGATATCAGTTTTGGCTTAATATTTGACGGATAAAATATTATTCATATCGAATCAGGACAGCCCCCATTAGAAATACATTTAAAAAAATTTTTTCCAGAAACATTTTTGGAGAATTGAAAATAAAACAATTTTAACAAACCTCTGAGCCCGAGGGGGAAATGGAAACTCTGAGCGCAGGAGATGAAGGTCGGCCTCTCTCCATTTCAAAAGGAAGCTCTCGTCGAGGCCTCTTCTTCTTTTCTGTGTCCAGGTCTCTCATCTCTCCAGAGCCATGACTGTGGCCCTCTGCCCGGGTGAGGACCCCTGACAGAAAGTCAGCTATCTCATCCTGAACGCAGCGGTCCACCATCGTCTGCGTCAACCCTTCAGACTTCATCTTTGCCGAATTGATTCTGTGGAGAAATTCATTCATTATTGAGATTTGAATGCAAAAACCCTGCAAAGTGAGGCTCACAAACAGATGAGACTTATCAGCACAGTAAAAAAAAAACACATTCTTCTGCCTGGTTTTCTATTTCATCTACAGACCAAACAGAAGCAGCTTTCTGCTGCTAACATATGAAAGGTTGGTGTTACAGATCAGCTGAGTCATGCCGAGTATGGAGAGGCCTGTTCCAATAATAGATTGAGACGGCGTTCAGTCCAGCACATCAACGCCCCCAACGAAGCGGTAGTGAAAAATCAATGATTCAGCTGAGCAAAAATCAGCTGGAAAAACTGCATTAGCCTAACGGCAAGTTCACATATGATCATGGACACAGATGATTAATAAAGCTTTAACGCATGTCGACAGCAGTGCTTATACTGATCACAGATCAGCTGTTTAGGATTATAAAACTGGGGGTTTCTACAAGTATCCCAATTCATTTTGAATAATTCATTTAGAAATCTAAACCAAACCCAGTTCAATCACCTTGGGCCTAAAAAGGTAAATGGCTCCTTTTTTCTTTTCTTTTTTCGTTTGTTGAAGCATTGATGACTAAATTAAAGATAAGGCAAGGCAAGGCAAATTTATTTGTATAGCACAATTCAGTACAAAGACAATGCAGAGTGCTTTACATGATTAAAATATAGGAAAATAAAACAGAATCAAAGCAAGTAGGAAAAAATGAAAAATAAAATAAAAAATGCAAAAACAAAAAAGAAAATTAGAAACAGTTGGACTAAAGAAAATAAAAAAGTTGAACTAATGATGTTTCAGTTGAACTGTTTAACTAGAACAGTTGAAGGCAATCCTAAACAAATGTGTTTTTAGTCTTGATTTAAAGGAAGTCAGGCTTTCCGCACTTTTACAGTTTTCTGGTAGTTTGTTTCAGATACGTGGAGCATAGGAACTAAATGCTGCTTCTCCATGTTTAGTTCTGGTCCTAGGTATACAGAGCAGGCTGGAGCCAGAAGACCTGAGTGGTCTGGAGGGTTGATACACTGATAGCAAGTCTGTGATGTATTTAGGTGCTAAGTCATTCAGAGATTTAACAGAAGTATTTTAAAGTCTATTCTCTGAGATACAGGGAGCCAGTGTAAGGACTTTAGAACTGGGGTGATGTGCTCTACTTTCTTAGTCTAAGTGAGGACACAATCCTCACTAAGATTTACTTTAAATTACAATCTAAATATAAATCAAAAGGCCAATATTTTCAGAAGATAAAACATCAGAATTACATTTATTTTAAACAAAAAGTTGTTTGTCATGTTTGTTTTTTTTACAGAATAGTAACATGTTGAAAACAGTGTTGACAGATAGTGTTGGACTATTTATGTGCAACGACACAAAGAGAAATAAAAACTATAGATGCCAAACAGAGATGCAAAGAAATATTCAAATGACTAATAAGTGTCACTTAATAGTTTATTTGATTAAAATGTGTTCCATCCACTGATCCACTGTCCGCTTTGGCAGACCTTCTATTAGTGTTTTAGTGGAGCAGCTATCCAGAGGAGGGCGCTGTTGTTCATCATTAAGTGAGGTCAGGCAGTTATAGTTTGTAGAAAACCAAAGCATGGAGCCATACAGTCATGTTCAGGAGTATTTTAACCTGTTTAATGCTGGCTAAGATGCAGAATGCACTTATTGTGGTCCTGTTAGTAAAAATAAACACTCGACGAGCTCCTTAATTTATGATCCAAAGCGCCTATTTAGCTGTGCTGCCTTTAAAATGGAAAAAAAACACACAATTAAGCACAGTTGAGTGTGAGGGATTTTTTAGTGAGGTAATACACTTAATGAAGCCGATTTAACACTCCAAGAAAACAAATCAATCAACTAGATTAACTCATTCAATATCTCCCGTCCCTAGAGCCAATAATTAGTAGAGCTGCAGAAACACACTGCAAACATTATCACAATGTATGTGTGTAACATTAATAAAGGAAAGGTTTGGTAGGAGTAAAACAATTGTTGGCCATATTTTTTTTACTTCTAAAGTGTCAAAAAGTTCAGATTTTGTATGCTGAAGAAGCATTCAGCCAGTTGACAGTTTGATAGCTGTAGACGGCAAAATCACACCACAACAACAGCATACATAAAGGTACCTGTTGGTATCATCTGCACTAAAGACCAAAGAAACAATGTTTATTTAATAATACTGGCATTATAATCACTATATTTACCATTATTTTCAAAGCCTCAGTTTTCAGGCTGAGGGAAACCAGTGATAAACTGGTCTAGTTGAGGACTGGAATGGCTTTAGGAGAAAAACGTTTTAAAACTGTGACTGACCTGAGGTTGTCGTCTGCCCCTCCCACCACCACCAAGCTGTTATCTGCCCTCAGTTTCTCTCTGAACTCCTCCATGCCGTCGGTGGTGCACTGGAGAGCATTTTGACCAACCACAAACAAAACCGGCGTCTTCATATCCAGCAGTGGGTCATCCACATCCTGTAAACCAGTAAACACAAACAGGTCGTCACTAGGCATGGGCCTGAACCTTTAGCTTTACAGGTTCATGTTGAATAATGGCACACCGGTCTTCAGCTACTGCAAGAAGACAGACCGCAACAGCTTGGAGGAAGAAGTTTGCCCAACCTGCATTCAGACAGCAGCAGCCAGAGGCAGCAATAAAGTAGATATGATAGGGCGGGTTAGTCTTTAAATTAACCTTTATTATCAGGCATTACTGTAACAATTATCACTATGTTACTGAGGCAGACAGTTTGGTTATGGAGATAGACAACTTCCTCTCAGCATTTATATATTTGATAAGGCGAATGACAGGTTCCCTCTGTAGCCTTTTTTTAACACTTTTTCATGCTCATTCCTGTGCCTTCTTTGTGCATAATCATACATGAAAACAGGTAAGACGATTTTTGCTCAAAAACACCATTTGCGTGCGACTTTTTAATGTCCAAAACATGTTTTCCCATGACAAACTGACTGCGTATAGTGAGGCTCCGACTAGGCAGGGTGAGCAGATCTGTGCAGATTCTTTTTTTTTTAAACTAATGTATCTGTGCCACACAAATTAAAGCAGTTTCCCACATTTGATTTGGACAGATTATGAAAAGTTATGAAAAATAAATAAATAAAACCATAATGAGTGGTAATGAGTCTGTGCAGCGCATCATCAGATCAGATCAAGAAGGTCTATATGCTAATATTAACATAATGAGAACTACATCTAAAGAATAACAGCAATAAAAGCAGTAGGACGGTTTATATGCTGTTTTTTATTTTTCCATAAAAAGGGGAGAGTGGTGACCTTCGCTTACCTGTTCCGTCTGCTCCTCGATATTTTGTTCCTTATGAGACTCAAAGAGGATCGTTGCTTTATCCCTTTTCTGTTCTCATGAACTCATATTATGGGTAGTTACACGATTAGCAACTCAGTGCAGTAACAGATTCTATTTTGTATTTTTCCCCAAAACAGATGTGTTTTACTTTGTAACGGTGTCTCTCTTCCTGCCAGACCAGAGAAATTGCCACTGACTTGCTGTGCAGTCCGTCTAAAATAGCCTATAATTGTGTCGGGTATGTTCATCCCCATTGACTCTCAATGAGACCTAAACGCTACGACCTTGTCCGACACAATCGGACACAAAATCTTTAAACCCCTCTAGAGGGGAACGGGGGGCATGCTCCACCAGAATAAAATGTTGTACCATTTAATTTAAAAGCGCATATCTATTGCACTCTAATGGAATAAATAAGCAAAGTTACAGGACAGTAAGAATGTTAAGTCTTAATACGTCAGGGATAAAATTCTTACCTGTCGTTTAATTCTCTCACCCTTCAATGACAGACAGTCTTTATCTTAAGACGATTTCTTCTAATTCCAGGATTTTACCTTTATTTACTAATTTGTTGTCAAATATTTAGTTATGAATATCCAGTCACCACTGATTAACTCAAATGACAGCAGTGGATTTAAAAGCTTTTATTGGCAGTCTGATAATGAAAATAAGCAGTGATGGAAATCTTTTTAGCTAAACTGTAACTCTGACTGCTACAACACCACCTTGCAGATAATCTGCACGATTTAATCACTGTGCAGATTGGATTCAGCACATTTCAGCAGGCATTTTATTTCTTTTTTTAATACAAACATCACAGAAATAGAGCTGTGATCATAAAACAGCAATATTTCTCGTTAAGATAACACACTGTCAGAGTTCTATACTGACCCATGCCAAGTCAACACAAAACCGAATTAAGGCTCAAATTACCATTTGATCATTTTCACATTGAGCAGGAACAGTTCAGGTCTTACCCCTCTAGGCCCATTCACTGTTAGAAGCGGGAAGCCAAGGCACACTACAGCCGTCAGATATTCCATGAGAGACACCTAATGTACAACAGGAATACATTTAAATATCTGACAGGTTTAATTAAAAGAAAAAACAAAGAAACAACCAAATGTTGGAGGGTATAAGTTATAAATGATGCTTACATGACAAGCGATAAGCGCACCAGCATTCCAACCAACCAGGATAATGGGCTTGTGGGGGAAGTGGCTATGAACCTGTTGACAAAAGGTTTATACATCGATCCGTACATCAGTTAAGGTATAGACATAATACTGCCAATACATTTTTCTATGAAATCATCAGTAGAAACATATTTTCCACTGAGCATAAAACTCTAAGAAGACCCATCAAACGGCAACAATAAAATCATGAAAACAAACATGAAGACGAAATAATACCTCCATGACTTTGGCCCGTACAGTCCCCAGCATGTGCTCCAAACACTGCGTGATTCCAATATTGGCCCCACTGTTCACGTGAGTGTGCACCGGGATGACCTATAGTTTAAAAACAGCAGTCATTAAACTCTTTTCTGCAAAGAAAATCATATGCTTTTCATTTAAAATGCAAAAAAACAAACAAACAAAAAAACAAAACAAAACAGATTACAACCTTTCCCAAGCAGGAGAGCTGGGACTGCCAGAATCTCATTCGCCGTGAGGTGGAGAGGGCGGGATTAGTTGGGAATGATGGTGCAATCAGAATCAGAGGAGATCCGGGAAGCTTGCACTGAATGTGAAGAAATGTATATGAGTGTCTAGTGCATTAAGTCACACTTCTTCAGAAAAATATTGAATTAACACCCAACAATCAATTTAAGTTATTTTTGGGGGATGTTATGTGACAAACCAAATAAAATAATAAAATACTGTAAAGTCAGAGGTAAACGGTTCTATACTTTTCCTAAATAAAACAGATGTTTATTTTCAGACCCAGTTGAGGTCACAGCTTTTCCCAATTAACATTCAGAGCAACCAGAGCTGCAAATCTTTGCCGGATTTGCAAATCCACAAAAATAGCTGGATGCACTTCTTTGTATAAAAGCTGGAGCTCAGTAAATTGAACAGAGGGCATCAGTGAATGATTCATGATCTGGATTTGACTAGGCCAATCAGACCCATTTTGTTCAAGCTAAATAATTACGCTGTATGTTTATAACCATTTCAATTATAGAAAGGAAACATCTGGACCAGTCTCAAGTTGTTTAAACTTAAACAAATTTTTCTTCCAGGATTATGTTCTATTAGCACCTACCACCTTTCCATTAACTCTGACCTACTTCCTCTTAGCTGCTTTGGAAGAGGGCCTCCACAGCATAATGCTGCCACCACCGTATTTTAACTTGGGATTGTGCTTAGGTTGATGAGAAGTGTTTGCTTTCCTCCCATACTGTACATAATGTTGGGCATTTTCAAAATATGCGTGTAACAAAAATTATAAACTTCTCAAAAACTTGAATAAGATGGTAAAATATAAATGCTATGTATTATTTTTAGCTTATAAAAAAAAGAGCTTGGTATAAACATAATTTAACCCCGTCATTACAATTGGTGTAATTTTATGTTGGTCATTTCATATAAAATCCAAGTAAAATAAGTACAGTTAAAAATAGGGTTGTGTGATAAAAAGAAAATGTGATTGATATTATATAATGCAATATAGCCAAAATGACACGGAAAGGATATGTTTCCTTCTTTAAGAAAAAAACATAAATACAAATAAACCGTACTTTACAAGTAATCTAATGATATTTACCGGTTTATTCTGTGAGAGGACTCCAACAGCAGGATCCCAGGGTCGCTTCAAAAGCAGGGACAAAGCCTCAGCACTGGGCGCTCCAGTCTTTGCAGACGGCAGTAGCATTCTGTCGATCAGGGTCGGCAGCTTTGCAAGAAATGATATCAAATAACGTAAGAATAAACACAGCTGAAGACAAAACAAAAAATAAATAAAAAAACAAGGACAGTGAGAAAAACCATACCTTGCTTTTTAAGGTCTGAAGCACATCCAAGTAAGCAGCAAGCATAGAGAGGCTTAAAGACTCGATCATTGTGGTGTGTAACCACTGCGTCAGTTTAGTTTCCCAGTTTACGCTGGCGAGAGCGTGTCGTACCTTCCTGGCACACTTGTCTACAGCTATCCTTCGCAGAATTGGCTCATTGGAAGCCTAAAAACACAGATGAAGCAAAATGACTCATTAGTTATTAAGAACAAGTCCTAAAGACAGCATCTAATAAACCCAACAAAAGAAATACTATTCAACGACACGCTAACTTTGTCAACTTAAAACCAAAGGAAAAACAACGAGAAAAAAAAAAGTTACGTTTTCATTGGCCAAACGGGCTAGTCTTTCCGCTTGTAGAGCTTTAACGACTTTGTTGAACAATTTGTTCTGGGTCACTGACCAACCCGTCCTGAAACAGAAAAATTATCTCAAAAACACTGAACTAATTTTCACTTCCTTTTTAAGCATCAAATAATGCAGCATATTAAAAGACATAAATATGCATGTTTGATTACTTGTTTATATGTTCCTCCCAGTCATCAGGAGGTGGGGGTCCATCAGCAGCCGTTCGAGCAAACAGGACGTGTCTCTCGCACTCCTTCATCACACTCAGTGCTTTCTGGTTGTCATACAGAGGGATGGGTGTTGGTGTGACCGTTTCCACGTCTATTAAGGACTCTGAGTCTCTGTATAGAAGGAAATGAAACAAAGGAATTGATTAAAGAACCATTTGAAAATAAATGCTAATAAAAAGATAAAAGTAGTCATACAGTTTCTTAGAACACCTAAAACCTTTTGTTTTTTTTTAAAAATACGTACGACAAAGTCTCAGCTTGACGACGTGGCGTTACAAACAGAGTTCTTGTGGGCCGGGCGCTACTGGCATCTGGGTGTGCGTTCCACGGTTTGGCATAGCTGTGGTCCAGAAACACCAAATCCAGCTCGCGTTCATAGGCGGACAGCTGGAAAAGCAAGGACGTACCCATCTTGCGTGCTGATGTCTGTAAGTCCTTATCCCCACGGTACATCTTTTTCCTGAGCCACACGTGGCTCAAAAAGAGACCCCAGCCACCGCCAAGCTGGACACAAAGGAAATGGAGAACATTCAGGAATGAAGAAAGAACAAAAATATCTTTTTTTTTTTTTTATTCCCACAAAGGATATAATGTTTAAGTATGTTGACATGTTTCCTCATTACTGCCATTGCTTCTATGATGGAAAAGACACAAAATCCTCCCTCACTTTCAAAAATTAATCAACAGTCTAAGGATGTTTAGATTACAAAAATTACATCATGTGATAATTGCAAAAAGTGTTGAAGAAGTTGTGATGGATGAGTTTCTTCGAAAGTAGAGGGCAAAGCCTTGCTAACAGGAAAAGCCCAGAGGACGTTTGTCAGACCAATCCAAGTGAATGAAAATCAGCTGACAAGCTAAATGAGAAATAAAGTACCCAGTCTGAGCGTAACTGGTGGTCAATGTACATTCAGGAATTCATCAGTTTCTCGTAGCTTCACAACCTATTAGTGGGGAGTGGCAGCCTAGTGGTTAGGGCATTGCGCTTTGAATTCTAAAGTTCTGAGTTCGAGCCCCACTACTACAGACTGCCACTCTGGGTCTCTGAGCAAAGAGGTGCCCCACGATGGCAGCCCACTGCTCCCCAAGAGGAGATCAATAAAGCTTTCAAGCTGGGCACCGTTTCATTCACAACACCTGTCCCATCAACCAGGAATCAGTGAAATTACTTTCATTACATTACTCAATCTGGAATAGAGTGACTGTAGGACCAGTTTGATTTAACACAATTTCATACAATATAACATTGAAAACCCCTGATTTAGAGGGTTGTCTATACAAAAAAATTAAATCAGCTGACCTAAAACACATGGTTTATTACCACATTTATGGGCCTGTGACAGTAAGCCACTCAGAATATAACTATACTGTTTCATTTAAATCCAATGTAAAGCAAGTTTGTTCAAGCCAAAAAAAAAAAAAGAACCTGCCATTTCAGATGGTGAAAATATAAATCTTTTTGAAATGTCCCTTTTGGCTAAAAAAAAAAAAAAAGGTATATTAATAATCAGTTACTTAAACCATTCATTTCAAATTATTTTCCAAACATTTTACAGCTTTATTTTAAATCGCTTTTTCCTTGATTTTAACACTTTTAGTGATGTCAGGACAACTTTTCACGGATTACAATGTAAATTGAAGTTGGTCTTTAAGACGCTAAAATGACCTTATTTCTGAAAATGCGCACATATTCGCATTATTTAAAACAAAATTCACATTCACGTCAAATAATTTAAGCATATGCTAAGCTATATGTAAAGGACTAGTATGTATATAACTAAATATTATAATTATAACTACAATTATATAACAATAAATAAAAACTGTGAAACCAACACCTGTGCGCGTGACGGCTAAACACAACAACAAGCTTAGACTGTGCTTGTTAGCCAAGCTTTTAGCATCGTGACACATATAATACATATAAATATATGTCAGAAAGATAAAATCGGTCAGTATGTGGAGCTATGACTGTCTGCCAAGGAAGCATGAATATCAATAACAACAAGTAGCTAGGAGGGCCAGAGACATAAAAAAGGCGAACTAAAAACATGATACAGCTTCAAGCATTCCATAACATATCTAACTTATAGTTGAGGATTAATTAACCGAAGAAACCAAACTGAATAATAGGACCTTCAATATTTAACTCTAACATCGGGTATTAGCTTAAACGAGCTAAAGAGGCCGAGGGCGGAGGGATCAAGTGGGTTGGCCTAGCATGACCACATTAGCATAGCACAATATAGCAAGCTACAGCAGAAACACTTAGCGTTGTTTACCTCTTCGTTTGATTAGATCATCTTCTAATGCACCACTGTTTCCGAAACTAGGAAAAAATGTGTATGTATGTATTAATCACTATACTTAACATATAATAAGCCACATAAGGTCGCTTTGCGTGTCTCCCTTCCTTCTTTTTGTTGTTCTATTGGTTGCCCTGTCGCGCTAACATTCCCCCCTTTTCCGCATCGTTCTTCTTCTTCTCTTCTTTTCTATTATGGCGGATCGCAAGCAACTTTAAGGTGCATACCGCCACCTACTGTACATGAGTGTGTAGCATCATTACTTTACATCAAACTCTATTTTTTTATTTTGTATTCGGTAGATAAATAAATTTGGCGCCTCGCTGTCAACCCTCAGAGTATATGACCCTGAAATTCAACCAATTTGGCAACCCAGTTTTGTGGCGCCTCAGATTGTGACGCAAAACACGGACCGGATCGCTCCTAGATTTGAGCTCTGTTGATCCACAACAGTGGAAGATGGAGTTAGAAGTCTTAAAACGTTTAACAAAATTATACTGAAATATTAAATTTGACATTTACGTAACACAAGACATAAAAACAATAATGGATTACAGAATGATGAATAGTTACCCTGGTGTTATTTTCTTAACAACAACCTGAGTATGGAGGACCAATCCTGCCATAATCAGAAATACATACAGAAATAAATAAATGCTCCAAAAATAAATAAGCATACAATTAATTGCCCCCCAAAAATACAATAAACAAATAAATGTAGGTAAAAATTAAATTATACAGTGAGAAATATATATATAAGTATTTCTCTTTTAATTACCTTCTTTGTATATTTGCCTTTGTAGTAATTACCTTCTTTATTTATTGTCCATTATATTCTTCAACTTTATTTATTTATTTATTACTTATTTCTTTAAGTATTTATTTATCTGAATGTTATAGTGGTTTTGTCCATTTTATTGTTCCTTTGTATTCTTTTACCCTATTTATTTCTTTCATGGTATTTATTTCTGTCGTATTTACATTTCTGTATGCATACTTGGGTTTCTGAAACGGACCCTTTTTTGGGGGATGGGGGGCTGCTAGTTATAACTAGTTATATTTAGCCTCATGTACTACTCTTTTATCAGTATTTGCATCCCATACTTTTACTGAAGTAAAATTCTCGCGAGTAGATCTGAAGCAATCAATCGGATTAATCGATTATTGAAATAATTAACTCATTTAGTAATTGATTAATTGTTAAATGGAGTATAGAGACTGTAAAATATGCTGTTAGCTGACAGAGCAATCCAGTTAGAGCAATAATAACATCAACATTGTAAAAAAATAAATAAATAAATAATAATAAAAAAAATAAAAAGAATTTTGCATTTAAGATTTAAAAAAAATGTTTTGGTCTGTCAATATGCTCTATCCAGAACTCCCCAAGTGGAAAAGTTTTAGTTTTACCTGGTTTAATTTAATACAAAATCTTCCTTAATTAACCTTTGTCTATCAAATTATTAATCGATTAATTGAAAAAAATTATCTACAGATTAATCGATTTATACTTGAGAGAGTATTGCTACTCTCACATGTGTCAAATTTCTGGTTACTCTCTCTACCCACCACTAGTAACTTTGTAGATCAGGTAAACAGTAGATATTACCCTTGAAGTAATTTATATTTAATTTTATATTTATAATTTATAACATACATGGAATACCTGCAGGAAAAAAATTATCTTTATTCATTTATATTTAAAAAAAACTATTTAGAGAAGTGTTTCTTCTGCCCATATTTGTTATTTTGTAAACATTTTTTATCTTTGAAATACCAGCTTCTTCACATAACTCTGTGACTACAGTCAACACTCAGTTCTTCGGTAGTTATTTTACAGAGTAATTTTTTATTCGTACTTGAGTAATTTCTTGAATACCGGAAACTATTTTCTACATTGACTGGAGCAAAAAATTAATAAATTAATAATGATCATAATTATATAAGGACAGTTTTAATTTCTGAATGAATTAAACAAGCAATCGTGTATTAAATGTCTTCTCTTTTTACAATTAAGCGGCACCAATCTGTGTTAACTTCTAATATAAAAACATCTTTTTCATGCTTTCTCATTGCTTAAAAGGAAAATAACTAGAGTAATGCAGCTTAATTGGCTGTTTAGTTAGTAGCCAGAGTGAGATGATTATTTTGTATAGGTGAAACCCCTTGTGCACCACTGTTTGGTGTGTCTGTCCCTTTGCCTTGACCTGGGATTTGCAACTTCTGTGCTTTACTGATGACCTACCTCTGTGTTGGGTGAATGGCTTCTATGATGCAATGCCTGGTGCCTGTTTGGCTGGAGCTGCTGCTGCAGCCATTTGAAACAGTCAACCTTTACATTGCTGCTGTCAAGAAGTCAGAGGTGAAAACTTTCTAGTTCTTTTCTAACAACTTCATAACTTCATGTGATAAGTTAGCACACACAGCCACTCAAAACAACCTTACTTACCTCTAAGCATGTGCTTATAAATGCTCACACATGTTATGTCCCTCTAATCTTATGAGGACTTTTCATTGACATTAAATCGTATCATATTCATTCATTTCTATGGCTATAAAGAAAATCACACAATTAAAAAACCATCTTGGGATACTGCATACTTTTTGTGGAACAAAAGGTAAAAAGCATCCATTTTATCTAAACACACACAAAGAGCCAGCAAACACTAAAGCACTAGGGAAAACAAGAAAAAACTCTTTATTTTAGACATCCTATATTTTTTGCCCCCCATCTGACCCTTTCCAATAAGTAAAGTAACAGTCCCGTGTCCCTTGATGTTTGATTCCAAAGGTCCCTGCAAAAACAATAAGACCAGTCCCTTTGGAAATTTCAATGCATCTTTGTTTGGAGTGTGTCCTACAGCCAAAATGGTAAGTTCCTTTTCAAAATTTGGATTAACAGCTGCTTTTCATAGATTGTTCAACTCTTAAATTATCTGTACACGTATTTGCACCGTGTTTTATGATCTATCTACTTGATCTCTACATAAGATACATATATTAAGAGTCTGAAAACATGTTTGATTGAACTGTTGATAAAGTGCACTGTTTTCTTTTAAGAAATATTTGGCTCTGACTTTGCTGCTCTCTACCTTGATGTCTCTGTCCAATGCTCAATGCTTTGCCAAGCTCCCAACACCTGGTAAAAAATGTTTCCCCAAATGAATTTTTATTTGTTTTCTGACAGATGAGTTTAACTTAAGATATTTGAACGTAAGTTATGATTCTTTTTTTCACGTCACAGAAACAGAAAATCAGACCCATTGTCAGGATAATGTTGATCTGACATGGCATCTTAAAGAGTCAAATTGGACCAACAGTAAATGTCTGGATTGTAACTGTAAATCATGCTGCACCGGGTATGTACAAAGAACTCACATAGCTAAAATATTTTGAATGTAAAGAAAAAATTTGTTGTTTAATCTGATTGTTTCTGCTTACTGTCTAATTTTAGGTATGCAACTCCGGTGAAATTCCCTAAAGACTGCGTGTCTGTGTTTGATGAGAAGACATGTCAATATATTGTTCACAAGAAAGATGACCCATCTGCACTCTGTCCTATTTATGCAGCAGTAGGAAAATAAACTATTTATAAAAGCTAAATGGTAAACTGCAATAAAAAGAATAATTTTCGCTAAGTTTTTTTGTTATGCTTCATGTTCTTTTTTGGTCGTCTTGCAATTCTTTTATTCAAAAAACTCAAATAGAAACACTTTTTCAGCAGGTACAAACATAAATTGTAGCAGCGGCTGGTTTCTAGAAAGACTATGGATTAGATAGAAAAATTGATCTGTGTATGCTGTGTTTGCATATCTATGACATTCTTAACAAAGGATATTCGTTTTGTATGCGCTCTGTGTATACAAAATTACAAAGTTTGTCTAAGTCTAAGAATGAGATGGTTGAACACAGATAATTAAACATACAATTAATATAAGTAAGGAAATATATTTAAATAAACTAATACATGCTGTATGGAAGGAGCACCATGGCAGTTATTGAAAAAAGCAAGCTTATGAAATTAGACTAAACACTATACCGATACACATGTGCTGAGGTGTCCATGTTTTCTGTTTTTTTTGTTTTTTTTTGCCTTCAATGGGAAAATAAAAAGACTATTTCTCTTTTTATAGCTTTCCTTCATTGGCTTTCTATTAAACCCAGAATAGAATTTAAATGTATTCTCACTTATAAAGCCCTTCTCATCAACTTTGCTTTCCAGGTGACATAGTAGAACACATGCATCTATTCAACACTTTTTTTTTTTTTTTTTAATTTAAATGCGCCTTGCTGAACAAAAAAATAGTCTTCAGGACCAATTCTGACCATTTTTTGATGATGCTCCTTCATAGGGATGGTTGTAACCGATCAACTAAAAGTAGTTCCTGACTTAAACAATTAGATAAAATGAAGTAAACAAATTAATTTCAATTCATTTTGTTTATATAGCGCCAATTCTCAACACATGTTATCTCAAGGCACTTTACAGTTCACTAGATCATGCAGTCAAATTGATTCTGTTTTTTTTATCCAAGGAAAACCAGTTGATTGCATCGACTCACTGACTTGAAGGCAATCCCTCACACTAAGCATGCTTGTAGCGACAGTGGAGGAAGAACAGGAAGAAACCTCCAACACAACCAGGCTCAGTGTGAGCGGCTATCTTCTGAGGCCAACTGGGTTCAAGGAGACAGAAGCAGAGATACAAAATGCAACTGTAAAAGGCGGCCGCATCCAGGAAACACACAGCCAGGCAGATGAGCCCTGAGCCAGCTCCCATATCAGAGGATGAAGAGAGCACATCCAACCAATCATAGTCAGAGAAACAGGACTACACTGAAAAACAGGCCGATCTCCAACATCTATAATGGCAGCAGCATAGCTGATATTTCTCTCCAGGATGGAGTCACAGCCAAACAAGAACAGATGAGGCGAAGCTACTATGAGAAAAGGAGAGAGCAGAACGTTAGAGATTGAATTAACAGATTCTGCAGAGTGGGAGAATAGAGTTAGAATGATGAAAAAGGGGTCCATATGTCCTCTAGAAGTCCAAGTCTACAGTAGCTAAGTATGGAGTAAACAATTGATGCCAATATATTCTATATCATAATACATTCAGATAGTCCCACATTCTAAAAGCTGGCATTCAATCACATCTACTATGCTAATTAACTGGGAGAAATGCAGCACTGTTAGTTTTGTAGTTCAGTGTCCTGTATCTCTCTGTGTTACTTTAGCCTGTGGGCCGCAACTTCTGTGCTTCACGGATAACCTACCTTTCTGTGTCTTCCTGGGGCTGCTGCAGCCGTTAGGAGCAAACGTCTACCTGTCCTTCGCTGCTCTAAAGCACAGAGTGCTTCAAGCTTTCTATTCTTCTCATTCTAAAAATGTTGCACTCCATGTGACAAATTAGCACACATGAATCTATTCAACACAGCCACATTTACGTCTAATCACCGGTCAATCATCAACTCAGGCACAAACATGCACATGTTTTCTTCCCCAAACTTAACAAGTATGTTGCTTTAAATTCTATTTCTTTTCCAGTCATCTATATGGTCTGACCTTGCATAAATTCTGTATACATTTTGTTGGTCATGCAAGCACATGTTACCATTACAGCAATGTAGTCTCTATTTTTCTTATTCCAAATGCGGTCTCCATATCTTAAAAACTCAAACAATAAAAAACGCCATCTTAAGATACTGCATTTATTTTCTTTGGAAAATGTGCCCATATTTTCTCCATGGATGATTTAAACTAAAACAGGAAGATTCCTATAGTCTAGTTTATTGATATCTGGGGACACAACAGACAAAAAAAAAAAAAAAAACAACAACATTTGGCCAGAAGACAATATAACTCTTTATTGAAAAAAACAACTGTAAAATTAAATTAAAAAAGTATCTATATCTATCTAGATCTATCTATATAAAGAGAGAGAGAGAGAGCACTGTTTAACCCTGCTTATAAATAAACTGTTTAAAACAAAAATCATAGTATAGTCAATTGTAATTGTTGTACAAAACAAGAGAAAAGTGCTAAAATAAGTTAGATCAAATAGTGGACACTTTATCATTTGTTTTTTGTTTTTTTTCCAGGGGCTTTGATCACTTTCAGTAAGTGAAGTAACACTCCTGTGCCCCCTGATGTTTGATTCCAAAGGTCCAGGCAAAAAAAAAGTATTTAAGAGAAATGACTCTCCACATATTTGTATTTTCCAGGACAGTGTCAATGCTGACAAATCACAGAGACAGGATGGTGAGTTTTATTGAACAATTAGTTTAAATAATTGTTTGTTAGGGTTTATTACTCTGGGCAGCACTGTGGTACGCTTTGTAGAACTGTTGCCTTGCAGCAAGAATGTTCTGGGTTCAATTCCTGGCAGAGGGTCTTTCTGCATGGAGTTTGCATGTTCTCCCCGTGCATGCATGGGTTCTCTCCGGGTACTCCGGCTTCTTCCCACTGTCTAAAAGGTGTCCAGGGTGTATCCCACCTCTCACCCAAAGACTTCTATACTGTAGATAGGCACCAGCCACACTGTGACCCAGACAGAATAAGGAGAAGATGGTTGGAGGGTTTCTTGAACTTTTAATGTGTCTATCTGTGGCTCCATTGTTATGAATAGTGGCCTGAAAGTCTGTATAAGTTAAATAATAGTTTCTAAATTCTGTTGTATAGTAAAGAGCGCTGTTTGTTCTTCATTTTCTCCAAAGAAATATTTGCTGCTGGCTCTGCTGCTCTGTGTCTTGACATCTCTGTCAGATGCTCATTGCGAGGTCAAACCTCAGACTCCAGGTAAAATCCAAATTTCACATAAAGAATATTTATGGTGATTTTCAGATGAGTTTCTAGGTTTAAAGATTTATAATATACTATATAAACACACACACACACACACACA